CACACACACACACACACACACACACACGCACACACACACACACACACACACACACACACACACACGGTTAAAAGCATCTGCCTTTGTTTTTCAGCAGCAGGTGATAACTGAACTTACATTAGTGAGGTCCTTCTTGCTATACTGGGCCTGTGAAATAAAGAAAATTATTAATTTTATTCTTCTAAATGCAGACACAAAAGATGCAAAACAAACACAATGAGCGAACACGGCCTGCTAAAACCTTGTCGGGGCCAGTTTGGACTGAAACACTTTGCAAGATCACTTTTCACTAATGATCCTTACTCACCACTAATGCTCTGACCGTCTTACTGATGCAGAACTTCTCCTCCTCCAGATCAGAGATTTCTGTCCTCACTGACTGGAGCTCCTGCCACACACTTACCTACAATCAACACACAGACAATACACACACTTGGAGTTGCAAATCATTAGAGCAAAAAACAGGTGTGTTTCATGCTGACCTTGAGTCAAAGGGAGGTTTCTTCAAGTTTAAGAGCCTCCTTTGGGCACAAGATGAAAATAACTCCCTTTATGACACAAACCTTTGCAAATAACCACTTACAATTTTCCTGACGTCATCTCCTCGCAGGTCTCCCTTCCTGCTCTCCACATTAGCGATGACTTTGTCGGTCTCCTCGCAAACTGCTCGCATATCCAGCTCGGGCTTGTCGCTGTAGCCATCGCGAACATGCTCGTACAAAAGGCTCCGAACACCAGGATGGTCAGAAAGACGACGCGGGCCAGTTACGCCTGTGTTCCGCTTTGAACAATGCCTGGCTACCGGCTGTAACGCTCTTAACGCAACCCGTCCGGCCCTTGCAATCATGCAGGTCGCCATTTTTGTGAACCGGATGTTGTTGCGTTCAATGAATGTAGGAATCAACAACACTTCACTTGTGGTTGCAACAGCTGATTTTTATATCTGTGCACACAATTATAACTGATTCACAATAAGCTATTCTGATAGCTCGTTTTATATTTCCTTTCTAGCGTTTATATTAATATTTCGTCGTTCTCCCAACTAAAAAGTTCAGGCTGAAATTCGCCTCGATTTGTCATGAATGTTACATGAATCCGGAAGTGATGTCAAAACGGAATTCCCGTTCAATAAACCACCATAGATGTGATATTTTAACCTAATCCTAAAATCATGGATATCATTGTCAGAAAATACTTTTGCGCGACTCGTGAAAGTTACATTTTTATTTGCGTTTATCAAAAAAAAAAAAAAAACGAGTCCGACTCAAACATACGTCACTGGAAGGTCAGCCAATCAGAGGAGCGGAGCTGCGGAAGTAGACCTTTGCGGTAATCCGGTTCAGACTGCGGCGGACACAAGCTCAACTTCGCTGCAGTTTACATAAAAAAAAATACACTTTTTCCTCATTTCACGACCCAGTTAGACGTGTGAGCAAACCGCAGATATGTGTCTGAACGAGGGGCGCTCACACAGGAGAAGCAGCAGTCCTTTGTAAGCTAACCCTGCTCCGCCACTCGATGGTGGTAAGCGTCCACCCGGCTGGATGAGCAGCCTTTAGCCTACCGCGGCTTCACCACAGGCCGGGCGGATCTGTTCTGCTGAGCCTCTCAACCAAATGCAGCCAAGTGCCTATTAACGACCTGTTCACCTGGGTACAGCTGACCTGGATCATAATTTTCACTGAGAGTGAGACCTAATAACCGTTCACGGTGGAAACGAGAAGGAGAGCAAAGGTAAAGGAAAGCTAAAGAGATGCTACAACAACAAGCTTTGTCTTTAAAACCGCGTGTTTAAAGTATTCAAGAGACCTCTTTCACTTTATGAAATTGTATATTGCAGCCTAATGCTACAGTCATTGTTTACCCTGTTATGTTAAAACAGATGTATACAGTTAAAAAAACATTTATTAAAATTTGAAAAGTACTCGGATCCATTACCCATTACTTACTGGTCCACTCCAGGACTTTCAGTCCCTGAAGAGTTTTGTGTTGTTGTCATGTTTGAAGGTAGTCGTCCCAGTCAGAGGCCCTGACCCTTGTCAAACTGGTTTTCACTGAGTATACCTTTTCATTCAGCTTCCCTTCAGCTCTGACCAGTCCATGCTGTAAAACAGCCCCACATCATGATGCTGCCACCACCATGCTTCACTGTGGGGTTGGTGCTGAGCAGTGTTTTGTTTCTTTCAGACATGCCATTTACAACAGAGGCCGAACACTTCAACCTTGTTTTAATCTTGTGTCCTTGAAGTGCTTTTTTTTAATATACAAGACGTCCATCAACTCTGGATCAGTGGAGGTCTGTGTTCGTCCCTCTGAAGCTCAGTCCCATCTCAACACAGGGTCTCTACAATTGTTATAGCATTGGGCTGAATACTAACTAAAGTAGGAGGAAATGGCGTGACACCCAAAACAAAAATACTATCCACGTTTTGCTAGCAAGTAACCTCATTTTTTCCCCACACAGATAAGTGTCTGACTCTCAGAAGCTCCTGTTTAACTCTTTTAGGCCTGTATTTAGACATTATGTGAATTTGTCATTTGGCATGTGCTCCTCAGATGAACGCTGTGCGGGGGGGCACAGTCACGTGGCGCCCCCAGCCGTGGCAGGACGGGGACGGCGGGGGAGGGGAGCCCCTGTCGGACAGCGACTCCGAGGAGGAAGACTTCCCAGACGACAGCACCACTCCACTGGGGGACTACATCACACACGGTAGGCCTCCCCGTTGCCACCTCTGGACTCCTTTGCACTCCTCTCACGCTCGTTTGTGTTTTAGGCATTAAGCAGCTCCTGGACGCCCAGCAGCTGTGTGATGTGACTCTGCTCGTTGAGGGGAAGAAGTTCATGTGTCACAGGTATGACCAGGTCTCACTTTAGAGCTAAAACAAAGAGTCCATTAAAGGGATCCAGGATTAGTTGTAACATTAGACTTTATTTGATAAACATATACTTTAACTGGAAAATAAAGACTGTAAAAATACTGTAGGCTGTTCAGTTTTGTAAATTTTTTAAAATATATTTTAACACGGATTGAGCCATTTTATTTACACACAAAGCATTCTGGGTAAATGATGACGTGGATAGGTCGTCGGTGTGAGCGAGCTATATCC